ACACAACACAATGTCCCCGGCCAGGGCTCGAACCCGGACCGCTCGATCCGGAGACGAGCGCACTAACCATTAGGCCACCGCGCCTCCCATTAGGTACTGTACCTGTCTTGAAAACACACAGATGATGTCATCAGTAATGGAGTCACGATTGATGTTCAGTAGAGAGCTGGCGTCATAAACAACCTACAAACAGTGATAAGAAAAGCAATGACTTGAGCCGGGTTTGAAGTAGCCGGGGTGTTTCCGATTGTGAGCGACCAATCAGAAAAGAGCCGGTAAATCATGGAGATATTTTGCACAAAGAAACGGAACGAGCTAGCAAATGACATTAACACTAAAGAAGGCACTAACGAAGTGAACAACAAAATTCGATCGCTTAAGTTTGGCTGATGTCGGAACTTATAGTGATTTGATTCTTTAGATTTTTAGTTTTTTGCGTTTATAGGTCTTTATAGTTCTATACGATCAATTATTGTACATTTTTAGTTTTAATTTTTAAAATATACTAGAACCGTGGATTAGCTGTAAACTAGCTGATTAGCTAAGCGTAACTCCACGTTAAATAAAGTATCGTATCGTATCGTATCGTATCGTATCGTATCGTATCGTATCGTATCGTATCGTATCGTATCGTATCGTATCGTATCGTATCGTATCGTATCGTATCGTATCGTATCGTATCGTATCGTATCGTATCGTATCGTATCGTATGAGCACCAAGAAAGTTGCCTCTACCCCATGGCGTAATCAGGAAACATCAAGTTACTGAGCAACAACAAAATTGGTGTTCAAGTAATCAGGTAGAAGGTAAAGATAAAAGGTTTACACTGCACTGATTATTTGACTCACATTTCCATTGTAATGCGACACTCCAAAGCAAGAACTCTCAGGATCGGGGTCAAAGAAGCTGTAATAAATAATTTTCAAGTTATTGCCCTAGATGCTCTCTTTGTCATTGCAAACTGTGAACAGTAGGGCAGCTTTAAACAATTTCACTCTCAACTTTGTGTACTGTCTAACATAAACAGAATTTCAGTCTCCACAGAAAATTAGCTATTATTTTCAAAGAGATAATGTTCAAAGTTCAATCAAGAGTATTTACAGCACACTAGTAGTTTTTTGATGCTGAAAGCAAAAACCGCTTATAATAATTATTGTTCTAAAATACTTTACCACATTAAACACTTGTATTCATTTAAATTCTAACTGACTCACCTCTCGCTGTCTTTGTGTTGTCCCTTTACTTTTTGTAAGAAGTTCTGATAGCTTCCTCTGTAAAAGTATCAGCTCAGATCAATTTTTAAGAGCAGCTTCGCCTAAATATCAACTAGACTTGGAAATAGCGAAAAAATCGAATTTCTTCAAACTCGCCCAGAATGAAGCCCTGCGAGCACTAGTTACAAAAATATCGTTTTAAGTTCGATAAATCAAAAATTATTTTTTTCCGCAATTTTTTCGTTTCAATGCCCCAAATCGGCCAAAATCCATCGAAAATGAACGGCATATTCAGAGGCTCGTAAACTCAAAAGTAAAAATCTTCATTACAAACTGATTGCACNATTTCCAAGTCTAGTTGATATTTAGGCGAAGCTGCTCTTAATATCTTTTAAAACGATTGTTTGCTTTTGTTTGGTAACTGCACACCAACAAGTGTTACTGTAGTACTAGTTACGAGGTTGTTGCTTCTTGTAAGCTCTGCTGATTGGTCGAAAAACTCATACAATGAACTTCGACCAATCAGAGTAAATTCCTAATTCATTTAGCAAATCAAGGAAAAAATGTTCAAATGTTGTTTATAGTGGTCAATGCGCTTAGCTACACCTAGTTAGTGAACAGGCTTGCCACTTACACTGAAAGAAACAAACATAAAAGAGTGATATACATACCTAGCAAACAAGCTTTCTTTGTCCAACACTGTTAGAACTCCAGCACGCTGGGAATAAAAGTGAGAGAGATTAAATAAGAATTTGGGCTCTTCCACATAACGGCTAATTAATCTTATACTAAGAAACTTAGAGTACTGAAAGAGGATATTTTAAATTTTCACTTGAGCAGACAGGGTGCGTATTAATCACATTAGAGGAAATCAGAATCCACTATTTTTAACTTCACTTCACAATTTGATCTGGAGAACAAGGTTAACTCTAGCACTGTTTGTGCCGTTTTGGTTCAAACTCTTATTAATATGCCTTTACCCCCTAAGGCGAATGGCAATTTTTCCTAAATCAGCAAATAAAGACTCTCTGCCTGTGTACAATATACCATTTGAAAGCCACTGATCAGCTTATTTAAGAACTGACATCAGCAGTTATGAAAGAGGTAGTCATTTTGAGAGAAATTGTTATAAAATGTGAAACTGAAAAGCTTCCAACACGTATCAGTTGTCAAATATCATAGGTATGCCCCTGAACTATAGCTTATTTAGCAGGTCTTAGTACATAGCTTGATGTGAAACAAGTCTTGCATTCCATGTGCATCTCAAAAAAGAAATTGGAAAATAATGGGGGTGGTCAACCATGCCTTAGATAGGAAGGGGTCACAATTTTATGCCTTCAATGAACAGATCTTTACAACGCAATTTTCGTGGCAAAAATTCATAGAGATCTCTCAAATATTCACGAAGTTATGACGTTGTGTGCCAAATAGCACTCTTAGGGAGTAAAGCGTTAATATGTTTTCCTATTTTCACAGGACAGAAAGTATAGTGTGCAACAAACCTGACATGTGAGTAACTCAATACATGGAGCATTATCAAAATAATCCACTTCAAGATCTGAGAGCACACTCTCTTCCCTGCAAAATGGAAAGAAACAAAACATTCTTAAATTCCAGCAGTCATTCTAAGAAGAATTTAGCTTTGCCTTCCGGAGCAACTTCACTCTGGTCACAAGAAGTGGAGGCTAACACAACAAATTAAACATACCAGTAATTTAAACTCCGATCAAATGCTCTCACCTTCTGTACTCCTCTCTGCTTTTAAATATATGTGTGTTGTAGAAATGTTGCAGGGTTTCAGAACAGAGGTTCACACAGAGCTGCTCCAGTTGATTCACCTAAACCAAGAGTGGTACAGCACAGATCAGACATAGAATAGTCCCTATGCATGATGATATCATACTGTCTAGAAAAAATCACCACCAAACCTCTTTTTGAACATGCAAATTATAAATTGTACCATGAACAAATACCCAAAGCAGCAAAGACAAGAAGAATACACATGCAAAAACAATATGAAGGTACCAGAAGTTTGAGAAAATTTCATGCAAACAAGGCTTGGGAGTGAATTTTGAGCGTGTGGTGTATACGTTATCTTTCATAAGACCTATTGATAAATCAACAACAAGCATTTGGGAAAAAAAAGAAATTTATTACAGATTACTCCTGTAAATAGGAAGATTGTTGCTGATTTAGTCTGGAATGAGGTTATCTAGCAAAATCAGCTCTGAATTGCTCTTGAAAAATGCAGGGGTCACTTATAAATTAAAACAAGCAAACAAATCAGGATTCGGGACTTTCTTAGTCTTTCAAAAAATCAAGACTCTGAGACAACTTATTGAACAAAATTGAGACTGCAAGACCCCTGAAATTTGACACTCGACTTGCAAGACTCATGGTTTATGTAGGCCCATTCGCCGCCCCTATTGTTGATGAGTGACATACCTGACTGTTTTCAAAGCCAAACATATCCACAATGCCAATGAGACCAGAAGCCCTTCCAGTTAACTGGACACTACCATTCAGCCCAGGAGTTGATGGAGGGGTATTCCCTGACGGGCAAAAAGACATGACAAAAAAAATTAACTGCAGAAAATAATAATCTTATGATAGACGTTTTGACAATCAATAACACTGTGACTGATAGCTTCAAAGAATACCTGGTAATGATGCCACGAGCAAACCATTGCTGGAATTAAGTGGGCTTTTCCCTAGAGAACCAGTAGACCCATGAGGTGAAGCTGCTCTTAATGACTCGTACGACCCTTGTGGTGATGTCGACAACATGCTGGTAGGTCTCTTGTAGCTGTTGACTCGGCGCACAATAGCAGCAAGTGTTCTGCAGTATAGCGCTTTGGCAAGAGCATCTCTGTTTGAATTTGCCTGGCAATTTGAGATGAATTACAATTCATATAATATTTACAATTAGAGTAAATTATATTAAAACAATTAACATGCTCCCTGGTTGAAAATTTAGCTTAGAATAATAGCTTTTGGCTGCCAATCTACACCCTTTGACAAAATAATTAATTCTGTTTAAAGTAAATTAACTAGACAAGGACAGATTGAAAGTTCAACAAGTACTTTTACATGTGGTTTTATGTCTATAGTGCAGTTCCTTAAATTACCCATACCTCCTCCACGGAAGGGATCTTTTAAAAGACCCCCTCCCCCACCCGTCTGGAAATTCCAATTAAACTTGATACATTCCTTTAAATTTTTTGGTCTTAGAGACTGCCCGTTCAAGCATAATCCCTAGAGGTGGAGTGTACTAAAAAATATACAGAAGCAAAAAGTTCTGCAACTTGTATTTAAGAAATAGAAAACATGTACCGTATTTCTATCGAGTTATAGAAACACGAGAGGATCAAGTTTGGGAGAACGAGAAATGCTGTGGGAACACGAGCCATGGGCGAGTGTTTCCACAGCTTTTTCAAGTTCTCCCAAACTTTCACGAGTGTTTCTATAACTCAATAGAAACACAGAGAACATGTTTACTATTTCTTTAAGAAAACACTGCGACGAAAAAAAGGTAAACAGCTTGTTAACTTTGATTATCAAAGTGTAAATTCTCTTTGCTCGCGCCATCATAACGCCAACAGCTCATGCTAGTTCTGTGTTTCCATCGAGTTGTAGAAACATGATTTTTAACCAATCAGCGCGTGTATTTTCTTAGGACTGTTTTGTAATTTAGAGTATATTGGAAAGCCGTATGTTTGTGTTATTGATACTTACAGTGGCTGAGTCACAAAGTGATCTAAGAATCTGTCCTCTCACATTCTTGGTCTTTGTTGTCAAGCCTCTGTACAGTGAAACACCAGATACACCAAGTAATGCAGCCACAGCTTTGATTTCTGCAACAAAAGAAAAAACAATTTCTTAACTTTCAAATAATATAAACACATGTAAAAACTGTGTACAAGTCAACTAACTATTAAATACAGTGGAACCCTGCCTTACAGCCATCCCATTAATACAGCCACCTTGTTACTATGGCCACTTTATTCTGGTCTGAACAAAGCTCAGTCAGTCATTTTCTTATAGTTAAAGAACCCCTTTAATATGGCCATCCTGTCAATATAGCCAGATTTTCGTGGCCCGTTGGCGACTGGATTAATGGGGTTGCACTATATACAGGGGTTTCAATAACATTAGTTATAAACAGCCACTGAAGGTGTAATAGGTGGTTGTAACCACTAAAGGGGCCGCAAGGCCCGTTTCCCCTAGGGGGGTCTGGAGGCATGGCCCCACCCCCCCTAAAAAAATTGAAATCTAGAAGCTCGGAAATGCGATTTCCAGCGTTCTGGGCATCAAAAAGCATGCTGTTGATGGGTACTTTTATTGACCACAAAGCAAAATTTTTTTTTGACAAACTATTAATTTTTTGATGCAAAGAGGTGCATTTTGAATACCTTTCTAGGCAGATATCTCTCAGTGACACTTGATATCCACTTAAGTAGTAATTTCTTTGAACTCCTCTCTTAAAACAAGTACAACTTCTCTGCTACTCATTCAAATGTACCAACATGGCAACAAACTGATTTTTAACTCATCAGAAAAAAATGAAATTATATAAACCCAACAACGAAATTCTTTCTACTAATATTCTTGCAAAACCAAACCTCATTTTCAACTTTTCATTGATTCTTCCACGGTTTATTATTAAGGTATCCAATAACCACAAAATAATGAAAAAATTAAATCATATTATTAATCATTCAGATGTCTTAGGTATCCTGAGTTGAACAGTGATGACACTGATCAGCTACTACAAACAACATGTACGCTATTTCTTTTTTGGAACGTTTAGTTTGCCCACTTTTTTGTAGCATTTAAAAACTGCAGTGGTCATTGTTGTTGTTGTATTTGCTTTTTTTAAATTAATATTATTTTTATTTTCATTCATGAAATCCAAACAGACGGCGGTAAGAAGTCCTACAGGCAGCAGTAGACCACCGGTAACTGGCTTTTATTGAAACCCCTGCTATATATATTAGTAACTTATTGATCTACTGTTTCCCATGAAATGAAAGTTACTTTTGGCCATTACAGCTGCTGCATAAAAAGGAATCTTTGCTACAGTGTAAGAATTAAGTGATTTTGCTCCAAATCCTACATTGGTGCGTCATGTTTGTACTAAGTTGTGTTTGAAGTTTGAAGTCTATATTATAATTCAATAGTTGTTTTGAATACTAGGCATTTTGTTTTTGCTACTTTTGGATTACATTTGCTTTAAAACTGGGCTTAGAATAAATGATACCTACCATTATTTCCCTTGACATCAAGTTCTAGGCCCTCACCATCAACAAATTCTACATTACCAAGAAGCAGGATTGCAACTAAAATTCTTAAAACATCTACAAATGGAATGCCCAGTGTGGCCAGAGCACCCTGAGAAGGAAAAGTCACATTAACAGGATAACTTGTACTGCATATGTTGCTATGTCAAGAACATCTAAAAGTAAGGGACAGAGGTAGGGAGGGATGGCTGGAGGAAGGAGGGACGGATGGACAGAGGGAAAAAGGGAGGAAGGATGGATGGATGGACGAAAGGAGGAAAGGAATGAGAGAGTGATGGAGGGAGAGAGAGACAGAAAGAGGGANTGTGCTTTTTTATCCCGGCCCTTGTTACAGCTCACCATCGATGCGTCATCATGCATGAAGTTGATGCATAAAGGGACAGATTTTAAGTTACACACCACAATTTGACACTACTTTAAGAATTGATGCATTCAAGGACAGATTTTAAGTTACACACAACGATTTGACACTACTTCAGTTAAGAAATAAAGGTTATAGTAAATCTTGGAACACGTAGATAGATGAATTACTGCGTTAAATGTGTCACTATCAACAGAATGTGACGCAGCAGTACTATCTTTTAGATACCCTAGTTACTTTATGGGTGAATTGTGTATCAACTACAGGCCAGTTAATCACCCATAACATCCAAGGTCCATCAAACATACTCAGACATAACAGGTGTTACGGGTCATGGCCCTTACTGACAGCTCTGAGGAAGGAAGGATGGACAGAGTGAGGATCAAGACAAGAACAAAGAAAGGAAGGGGGATGGGGAGGAAGGGAACGGAAAAATGAACAGAGAACTCAGAGAACTGAGGACTGAACAAACACCCAAACAAAGAAAGGATCAAAAGAACCAAATATAAAATTGAAAAAACAAATTTAATTAAACAGCCAAGGGAATGTCAATGAATGCAAGATGATGTGCATGGAGATAAATATGCACTAGAAAAAAATAATCAACAAATCATAGAAGAGTTAACTTACCCTAAATCGTTCAAATTTATCTCGGAAGTCTTCCTCGTCTTCATTATAAGGAATGGGACTCCCACTTAGGTATAACAAGGAGTGCACACTGTATCCTTGAAGATGAAGCTTGACTGGAAATATGAGAAGCCATCATTACAACACAACAGAAATGGACTTATAACTATTAATAACCAATTTATTGATCATTAAATAAAATTAATAAAGAACAGTTAATACTGAAACTTATTTACCTCTTTCTTCCTGAGAGATGCCATATAACAGCTGATAAAATATGTGATAATTCCTCTCCTTGACAGGTGGACATACAACTCTTGTCTATCACATGAACAATGAACACAACTGTAAGTGGTGACCACTGGCCTGGACTTGCAATCATGTTAGTGCCAGTAAGGGGAAGTAACAATACTAGTGTGACTGACACTGGAGTTAAAGACTGCTAGCAATTATGAGCCAGCTTGGTACCTCCCACCCTAGAGTAACTGGGACAAACCTTAACCTTAACCTAAAGGAGGACTAAGCAAGAGCAGTTTTCATTTGAGCACTGAAAGTTATGCACATTTGCTTTCATTTTGCATCATTTCACTTTTTGGTGGTTTAAAAAACTCACACCAGAAGTAAGCCAAAACCAGTTGTGACTTGCTCACACCAGTTTTCTCAAGCTAATCGCACCGGCTTCATGTATTTGTTTTGAGTTTTGATCATTTCACTGTACTGCCCTAGTACTTTGTGATTAGCCACATTGATTACATGTTTGGTATTTGCTTTTACGACACTCCATTTAAACTGCTCTAATTGGCAATGCTGCTATGTGGCTTTGTTCAGAATTCTACAGAACTTAACTTACAGAATCAAGAAGATAGCACTGGATTTTTGTTCTTGATATCAAACCATCAGACAAATGGAATTCAAAAAGGTTACCCTAAGAAAGAAAAATAAACATGACAAACTGATTAATGTTTTCCACAACTCAAAGGATATTGAGATATCTTTTTGATGCTCTTTTAGAGCAATAAAGAAATAAAGTCATAAAGAAAAAATCAAGGAATTGCAAGTAAATTTAAGAATACCATTCTGGAGGAGTTAGAGTTTGTCGTTGTCTTGGCATTTCCCAGAGACTGGATAACAGCCATGGAAGCAAGAAAGTGCTGTCAAGAAAAACATATTCTCAGACTTACATGTAGTAACTGGCAACAATGCAAGATGCAGAATTTCAGGGGGAGTGGTGGGAAGGGGAAAGGGAAGGTCTTGTGACTATTCAAGCCGTATAGTGGTGCCCTTAGGCTTTGTACCATTGCCACAAGGTTTGACATCAATTGTTTTTGAAATAATAAAGAAAAAACACTCCCCTTGGCCCAAAGAAGGCACTATAACATGATCACAAATTATACAAAACTAACCTTACAGACATCAGAATCATGTCCTCCCCCTGACTGTTCTAAGAGATGTTGTGTAAGGGCCTGGGCTGTGAATGTTTTTCCACTTCCTCCATTGCCACTAAAAACAGGAAAATGCCACTCATCTTTACTAACTATTGTTGTAACTCTTTTTTTTTGCAGGAAACAAGAATTGTGGGAGGCATTGTATCTTATCAATATGTTTTTAAGTGTCCTGGACTGATTAATTATATATTAAATTCTTGTAATCCTACTTTTGTAAAAATTATATCTTTTCCTCATTCCTGTGTACCAACTTGCTGTTAATTTGCTGTTATTATTCCATCTTGTTGCTGTTGGTCCAAATTAAAGCCCTGCAAAGACCGTGTTACAAGTGTTCTTAAACAAGACACTCTCACAGTCATCATTTCACCAAGGCGTAGACTGAAATGGGTATGACCTCCATTTTTAGTGCAGAGTGCACTATAGGGATGGTTATGGGAGCTGCCTGCCGCTAAGGAACTAAGCTGCTATGGCGCTATGGCCCTATGGCGCTAAGGTGTAAACTTTAATTTTGTTTAATTAATTAATTTCAATTAATTAATTAGTCTAGAGGCAAGAAGTAGTGGGGGTAGGGTGGGAAAGGTACATGTGTACTCTAAATAAAACACATTCCATCGCCGTCACTTAGCTTTGAACATCGCAAAGATATATATTTGTTTCAGGTAACCCCTTGCTCTCCTTGTGGTACCATTCTCCTTAGAACAAAACTAATTTGCCCTAAACGCATGC